AAATCTAGAAGTATGTTCGCTTCTAAGCGCAAGAGAAGCACAAAGAAGTGGTATCCGAACTCAAGCAGCTTGCTTGTTCGAGTTAGGGATTTTGACGTGGGCCAAGGTGATAGTCCCACGAGGACAACCATGCAGCTCAGCATGTGGCTGAAAGGCAAAGGGCGTCTCGCAACGATCGCGTCACATTGACCCTCCCGCTATCACTGGATTCGCGAGCAAGTGCAGCGCGAAACAATCAAGATTGTGTACTGTTCGACCGCGGTCATGGTTGCGGATATGTTCACCAAGCCGCTGCCCACAAGCAAAGTTCAGCTTGTTCGTCACGCGACTTGGCATGTGCCGAGTGGGAGTGTCGGAACGTGCTACTCTGTGAGCACAGTGCGGCACACGGTCTACATATCACGCGTCATCAAGTGGTAAGACCGCAGGTGCAACGGTAACTTGAGTCATCTTGGCAATTTCAAGGTCTACTTCAAGGTAGGACACGACAGCGTGCTGGACTGGACACGATACTCAAGGCCTGCAGGCAGACTAGGTGTAAGCAGGCTTTGCGTAAGTTCTAATCTCACTCACTTTCTAATTCTCCTTTTCGCCTCACCCGCCTCCTTCCAACCAACTCGACAGAACGCATAGTTGCTGGAGACGCGAATGTAGTCCGCAAAGCCACCGAATGACTGGTGGCCGTCCTCGTACTTGGCATTACTTGTAAATACGGCGCGACTACAGTAAGCGTCGTTCCCAGACGCGCACTCCCGGCAAGGTCGAGTTTGGTCCTTATTCAGACACGCCCACGCATTGAAACCGACTCCAACTCGGTCACCAAGAAAAAGATTCTTGACGGCAGAGCCGGTCTGAGTCACTTCACCGACGATTTCGTGGCCGACGACGCAGGGGAACGGAGCTGAGGGGCTTTTCAGGGCGTGGATATCCCCACCACAGACGCCACAATGGGAAATCTTGACTTCGACGTCCTCCTCACCGAGAGGACGTGACTGGTACTGCCACGGCTTAAGACTTGCCCCAGCTTGGAAAGCAGCGTAGGCGTTGATCGTGCGGGGACCGAAGGCTGTCGACATACTTCTCTTAATGAACGCTGCGGAATTCAGCATTAAGAGCTGAACTTGTTTTTGTTGAGAGTGATTTGGAAAGTGCCGTCACGAGTCGAAGGCGAAAAGGAGCCCGAGGTATTAAATGAACAGCTCCAATCTGCAGCAGTGACTCACGCGTGAATTAATACATGTAGTACAGAAATCCTCCTTAATAAGCGTAGGAGGTCGACTGATAAATTTGCATAGGTCAATCAATGCGATTTGGCGATTTTTGTTTTTAATTCCTTCAATTTCTGTGATTCGATATCAAGGGGTATACGAAGTGTAAGTAGTGTATTCAGGAGGACTTCTGTACAGGCACTCTTGCAATTGAGTATTATTAATAATGCCATGATTTCTTTGCGTACGTTTAGATGAGTATGTTTAGAGGAGATTGTGGTCTCATCTGCAAACAGCTGACACTATTATACTGTAGGCACCATTCGAGGCCAGTGTTGATTGTGGAATGTGGGATAGTTGTATCCCACATCCCGTGTAAGTCCCCCTGAATAAGCGTAGGAAATCATCTCTTTAATTGTTATAGGTATTTCTCTTCGGCTTCTAAATTTGTCAGATGTACGTTACGCGATATAAAAGGGTATACGAAGTACAAGCTAGGGACTTCTGTACTTGCCCCCAGTAGGATAAATTTATGGAGAAAGAGCTCTCCCAGGAGGCGTTTAGCATACAGTCGCCCAGGGCTCCCGATAATGGCATTAATGGCAGTTCAAATTTCGAGGCTCCCATACATTGTGCATTTGAATCCGAGAAACCCATCCGTACATTATGGCCATTAATGGAAACCATGGCCTTTACTTACAAAAACTAGTATTAAAGTGTGAAGGCATAACCTCATTCATTATGCATTTTCAACCGCACCCGAGCTCCCATACATTTTATGCATTAAAATAATGTACTTTAATTATTGTACTTATGCATTAATCGGGAGCCCTGCAGTCGCCGCACAACTCGCTCATGCTAAATTCGCTCAGCGATCTCGGAGGAAGGACAAGAAGCCGGACACTTTGCTCGCGTAGCATGAATGGGGGGGGGCTTGCAAGCTACACGCCAAGACCAGGCAGTCGCCGGTGATTGATACGATGTAGGCGTATAATAACGGATATTACTTGTATATTTAAAACGACAGAGTGAAAGGGGAAAAAAAGGGGGGGGGGCGTGAATCTGCAATTGAATGCCCAGTAATTTCATGTTACACGAGCTAAGCGTCCACATCAAACGGGGACTGACGATCTGTCTTTTCAAATACACAATTAATATCTGTTATTATACGCTTACATCATATCAATTACCAACGACTGCCTGGTATCCACCCCCGGCGACTGCCTAGTTACCTCCTCCATTCATGTAATACGAGCAAAGCGTCCAGTATCAACCGAGAGCTATCAATACAGGACTGGCCTTCCCTCAAATGTTGTCTTGCTCTACCGAATTGAACTTTTTCCTCAAAGCGCTACTATTAATAGCCCAATCCTATAGTATATAGCAATGGAACTTTGTTCAGCTGTTGCACTGAGGCTGTGAACGTTATTACATGTAATAGCAGCCAGTCTAGCTAGATCCTACATTATAATACCTTGATTAAATAAAACGACCTGTATTTGCTGAAAATCGATCATCAGGCTAAGTGAAAAAGACAAAAAGCATTGCAATGCTGCAGTGTACTACTAACGTTAGTAGTAAATCTAAATATTCTACTACAAATCATTTTCTCATAAAAAACCTCTCTAATCACAGATATACTTTTGTATAATGTAAGTTGGTGGAAAACCCGTGTCTTTTATACAGAAGTATACCCAAGATATCAGTGATCAGAGAGGTTATTTATGAGAAAATGATTTGTAGTAGTATATTATTAATATCTACTTCTGAAATTTTAAATGTAAGATTGCGACGACTACACGGTGTTCTCCAAATGATCTGCTACAGTAAAAAAAATGCGGATGGGTCTATTGACACTATAATAGCTAAAATTACTCCATCAATATTGATCAAGCAGAGGTGCGAGTGCAACACGTTACATATAACAGTATTGTGTACACCCCCATGCAACTAATTTGAGCTCTCGATCCCTAGTGTCCATTTCATCGCCCTCAGAAACTCAGCCCATACAAATATCTAGTCAGCCAAAATGACACATGTTTTTATTTTATATAGGTTTTTGTATTGGACCGATGGTGGCCGTAAATTGTGTCCAGCCAGACAAATCTCTTTTTTGTATGTGAGCCTCCCTATAAAGTGCAAACCGCGAGCGT